ACAGTTAAAAAAAAAGAAAGAGAAAGAGAGATTGTAATGTACAGGGCCGTGATGCGGCAGATTGTGGAGCTGTTGAATGTGCAGTCGCATTTGATAAGAGGGTTGTAGGCTTCGTCGTCGATGAAGATGTTGTCGTCGATGGCTACGCCGGAACAAAGTTCGCCGCTCCTGTTCCATCCTGTCTGTGCCTGGATCTTCCAAGCCGCGAAGATGGACTTCAAAGCTTCCGCTGTTGTTACAAGTTACAACTATCAGTTTATTCAAACCAAGTAAAATGTGTTCAGCGACGGAGCAATTACCTTCATCGGGATGAGTCGTGGCTCCTCTGATTCGGTTTTGAGCTCGAACCAGGTGAAGTGAACCGGGGATACACAAAAGGAACCAGACGGTGATCAGGAGCAGACACGTGGGCATCGTCGTCTACCTAGGTTTTACTCTCTCTTTTCCGTTTGGTTCAAAACAACTATTGTCTGTCTATCTTACTACACTGAAAACTTAAGCTTCATCTTTATCGTCTCCTAGACTGTTTTCATACGTTATTGTTTTTCATTAATTTGTATTTACAAATATCATTCTTGACTTAGATCCATTGACTTATATATACGCCAACCAAATGATGATAAGTGGACCCAGACTTTTTTTTTTTCGCAGGCCAACATTTTTTAATTATTTCAAGGGTAATATTTTGGGAAATTTGGATTAATACTCATATCATATAAAAAAAACTTACTCCATAACCATAATAAAAGGGTGGCTAGAATATGTCATATATTGTTCTCTTTAATACCAAAATTGCTCTTTTTTGCGCTTACAAAGAGAACTATCCCTTTGTTTATACTAATTGCATATTCCCCACGCAAGCGCGGGGCCGGGATCATTATGTTTGCGTGTATTTTTTTCGATTGTTGGTTTAATGGATTCTTCTGATAACATCAATTAATAAAGAAATGGAAAATTTCATGTTTTTATATCGTATGTCAAAACTTGATATAATTCTATATTTATAGTATTTATATTTGTATTAAACGATTTATCAACATGAAAATAACCTTAATTAAGTTAATATTCATTGTTTAAGTTTCATTAGATAGGTTTTTATATATGGTTTTTTTGTAAGTTTCGGTTTTGTTCATAAATGATGTGGCATTTTTATCTAAGGAGTCATCGACTGTGGGAATTCATTCGCCGAAGTCTGGAGTCGGTGGTGAGAAATGTTTTCAATGAAATTATAGTAATTATTAAAATGTAAGAGAAATTACATATTCATTTAATAAATAACTTACTTAAATTTTGTTGTTTATTTTATTTTATTTCACATACATTTTTTTTTTGAAAAATATTAGGAATGTGTTAAATGTTAGTGTGTAAAAGTATGTGTGTGTTTTTTTGCTGTAAATAGTTTTTATAACGTAGATCAAAACTTGATATAATTCTATATTTATAGTGTTTATATTTGTATTAAACGATTTATCAATTTGAAAATAACCTTAATTAAGTTAATATTCGTTGTTTAAGTTTCATTAGATAGGCTTTTATATATGGTTTTTTGTAAGTTTGAGTTTTGTTCATAAATGATGTGACATTTTTATCTACGGCGACATCGATTGTGGGAATCTATTCGCCGGAGTCTGGAATCGGTGGTGAGGAATGTTTTCAAGGAAATTATAGTAGTTATTAAAATGTAAGAGAAATTATATATTCATTTAATAAATAACGAAAATAATTAATTTTTGTTGTTTTATTTTATTTTATCTCACATACAATTTTTTTTGAAAATATATATTAGGAAATATGTGCAATGATTTAACTTTTTGAGCTCCTAATCTATATTATTCAACCCTCATTAAGCCATCCACGTATGCACCCGCGTGGAATTCACTTTTTGTTTTGTTTTTTGTTTGTTTGTTCATTTTTGGATTTATTTTTTTATTTTTGGGTTAAGCTATATTATAATAGGATAATTTTAAGGTTCTTTAAGCCATCCGCGTAGGCAACCACGTGAGACTTGTTTTTTTTTTGTTTTATTATTCGTTTTGGATTCATTTTTAACTATTTTGGGTTTGAACTTGTTAAGGTTTAGGGTTTATACAACTATTTTGATCTTTAAAACAATAAGCCAAAAAAAAAACATAAGAACCTTATAAACAAAAAGCCCATATGATAATAACCTAAATAAAAAAATCAAAAATACATGATAGCTGCGTGGTTTGAACCCACAATCTTGCATACTTAATTATACATCTTATACCACTTGGCTAAAGTGTATTTCATTGTTTGTTACCATCTTACCAAGACTATGTGTGTTTAAAAAATATTTTTATGATGATGACATTAATTGGTTTATGCTTGAGAGCAGTGGGAATTGAACTCATGTCCTTGCAGACCAAACATGGGGTCTTAGACCACTTGGCTAAACTGATATTCTTTGTTTGTAGCCATTTTAAAAAAACTATCTATTTTAATATAAAAATGTGGGACCCACAATCTGCTTATGTGGACACCTTAAGGAGCCTTTACACTGTATCATTATAATATAGATTTTCTGTAGACAATGAAAATCCATAAACTTCTTTTCTAATTTTGCGATATCGGAGAAAAAGAGATTACGATCGATGGATTTTGAGAAAACGATTTTGGGGTCTCAATTGCAAGGAGGAGTTGGATCCACGCACATCGAAAAAAATAGCTACGGCGATAGGTTACAGAAAAAAGATCGATTACGAGTGTTAGGATTTCCGCATCGAAACAGTTTGTATCTCACCATTGCAAAGGTGGCAGATTCCATTAAAATCAATTACAGCAAAGTAACGCCGGTTTAATGTTTGCATAGTAGTTGATCCAAATAGTTTTGATGAATTAAGTTAGTAGATGCATGTCAGTTTTTGTGTTCTTGGTATCGCTTTTAAGAAACTAGTTTGGCGATTGGTGGGTGGGGGAACAATTGATGTGATGAGTTCAGCAGACTATAGATCTTTGTGTATAGTATCGAACCTTATCGAATGGTATGTACTATTACTTACAGAGTTACAGGTTAATAGTATAGGAATTTACGTTGGTTACAACACTTAAAGGTAAAATATGTAGTTTCATTGTTGTGTTTTCCAAACTGGAAACTGATGTAGATTTTAAGCTTGAATAAGGTGTTGCCGGTAGCGGATACAAGACTACACCATAATGTTCTTATAAATAGGTTAGTGTAGATCCTAAAATCCACACTCAGTATTTTGTAGAGACCGAGAGTTCATTCAGGGGAAGACAAAAGATGTGGGCAACGATGCTCTTAAACACAACGATATAATCGAACTTCGGTTGACAAAAATAGACTTTTATTGAATATAGAATTCATTTACAAGATGATGAACAAGATCGAAAATAACAACAAAGAGTATAAGAAAGCGAACTAGAAATCTAAAGAATGAGGTCGATGTGATTAGTAAATTGCTCTAGGTTTTTCTCGTGTCGTTGAATGTCATTCTAGCTCTCTTTTTATAGTTCCTTCATCCTTAAACTGTCTCCATGATCTCCGAGGTCCCGTTTCGGCCTCGCGACGTCCACTGATCACGTCGTGATGACAAAGCGTGGGCTTGGGCCTTACCTTTATTCACTGGGCTTTAACCTTGTTCGCGTTGTAACTCTCCGAATGCTCTTCGAGCTCGCTTACACAATTCTTTAACGGGTTTTGAATTAATGGGCCGAATTTTGGGTCCAACATTTTCCGCCCAGCTTTTTTAGTTTGGAGAAACTGAAGAGGCGAAAATCTTTACCCAACCTATTGTTATCACTCATCTCAGAGAGCGCGACCCCACATGTATCGTCTTTGTCGGCCACTTTCTCCCATCGTGCGGTTGAGGTTGTTCGTCAACGTCACCTACTTTGGGAACCGCTTTTGGATCCTTATTAAATAATCTTCTTCATCGAGAGGATTTACTTTTCTCGCGATTTCTTCGAGTCTCTCTCACTTCTCTCACTTTTCGATTTCTAATTTTCGATATCTCGATAGCAAATGTTAGGTTCCCTCTTCATCCCCCTACTATTATCGAGGGAAAGCATCTTGATAGTATCCATGAGCTGTGGAGAATCCCCTATGATGTGGAAATCAGCATCGCGGAGGGTGACGAAACTCCCGCAAACGTCCGTGACGGGTATAGAAAGTGGTTGAACTGAACCCTAAACCCTAAAATCCCGAGAATGTTCTTCTTATTTATTTATTCTTTCATTGAACTGGACCTTTGTGTTGTAATGATGTATGTTATAGCCACACAAACTATACTATATGAACGAGTAACATAGTATAGTAGCTAATGATTTTGTTGAACAGTAAAAATATGAATATTTCTACTATAATGTTCTTATAAATAGACTTGATTAGTAAGATCTTCATGTCCTTGTTAGCATGTGATTTCTTATCAATTGTGTTGCAACGGATTGTTGTAGCTTTCAATATGCAATGTACGTGGATTAGAGTTGTAATTTGTATACTATTTCTAGGCCATAGTATTCATGTTTTGTGGGGATAAAGAGATGTTGTTTTACTGGCCTGAAATCTTTCTCAGTTATAGGATGGAGTTAAGCAGCAACGCCATGTCAGATATATGTAGTTTTATTATGTGTTTCTTCTTTGATCAAACTAAATCTTCGTGTTGTATCACTCTATTGTATGACTATACTATATGGTATATAATATAGTAACATTCATATATATTAGATTCCTATGTATTTTATGCAACAAAGAAGTATATTTGTTTAATGATATACTTAAGAATTTCCATTACTATATTATTAAATTTTTAATATAGTATAAAAGTCAACTGACATACACAACAATTAGTTTATAAACGGTTTGACAAAGTGTTAGTTGCCATTTTTGACTCCCGTAAATTCATTAGTTGTAGCTTTTGTTTCTTCTAGCAGCAGCTAACACTTTGTCGCAATCGATAAATGTCAGTGTAATTATTCACTGCCCTTCATGTTATGCCTTGTGTCACTACACTTTGCTTTTACGGCATTGTTGGACTATACTATATCACATATAGTATATTATATTTTCTTCTCATTGGCCTTATATGTTTTAGTTTCATATATTTGGCTTCTTTATAGTATAGTTCAACATTTTTAAACATTTTATACATTTGTTATGTGCATTATATTATTTATCGAATTGCATTGGAGTATACTGTGGTGCCCCAAACACAACAATGATGCTGTCTCTTTTTTTTTGCAGTGCTTAAACTACATAATATATATTATAGTCTTGTTTGCCTATGTTGTAAAACTTGTACATCATATGGTGTATTTCGTGTTACGTTATTATAGCAAGCTAAGATGTACTCTGTAAATGTGTCACTCTCTTCATTTTCACGCGTACGCGAGTGCAAGGATAAAAAAATTCAGTTTTGGTGCTAATTATCACATCCACTTTACTATGGTTATGTTTTTCATTTCCTTTTTTGTGAATATTAATCAAATTCATCCTATAAAAATGTAATTGCACTTCATACACACACAAAATGACAAAACCTTATAATTTTTTTTTAACCTTATAATTAGTTATATACCTTAAATCCACACCATGGTACTTTGATTCATAGACATTCAACTTGTTCCATAAAAAAAATAGTTTGCAAATTTCAACAATTCTTTTGGGTTTGAAGCCAATTCACTCAATATATAATTACATTCAAATTATTTAATTTATTAATGAGAATTCGGCAAAAAAAAAAACACCAACTTTGCACGAATTGCCAAAAGAAATACGAACTTTTGGACTCACCAAAAAAAGCATAAACTTTTCATTGACTTTAGAATTAATTAACAATGTTTTCGTTGACTTGCCAATTTGGCACGCCGTCAGCAAATTTAACAGAAAAAATTAACGTCGTTAATTGTTGACGTTTGGATGAAATGACGTCGTTTTCAGCGATTTGAAAATAAAAAACTGTAGACCCCTGAGTTTGAACACATGTTGATTGGACAAATGGCAAGGTAGTTTACCACTAGGCTAGTGGCAAGGAAATCCGAACTTTTGGGCTGACCAAAAAAAGCATAAAATTTTCATTGACTTTAGAATTAATTAACAATGTTTTCGTTGACTTGCCAATTTGGCACGCCGTCAGCAAATTTAATAGAAAAAATTAACGTCGTTAATTGTTGACGTTTGGATGAAACGACGTCGTTTTCAGCGATTTGAAAATAAAAAACTGTAGACCCCTGAATTTGAACACAAGTTGATTGGACCAATGGCAATGTATTTACTAGGGCTGTTCAATATGGTAATGCCGAACCGTACCGAACCGAAGCGAACCGAAATAGACAATATGGTTTGGATTTGGTATATACCATATAAACCGAATGGATATGATTTTATAAAAACCGTAGGATTTGGATATGGTTAGGTTTATAACCGATTAAACCGAATAAACCGAACAAAACCGATCAAAGAAAAAATATATAAATATATACATTATATAACCATTTATTTTCTTGGAATAGTCTTTTTTTAACTTTTTTATTCCTAGTGAAGATATATTTTAATAATTTTATTTTATTTTCTTCAACTATTATCTGTGAAATTAGATCGTACCATGTAATTTATTTGGAAGAACAAAGAGAAAATAAGAAAAACTGTACAAAACTGAATCGTTGGTCGTTTTGTTTGTTGTTAATTTCACATTTTTATATTTATGAACACCTAGGATTATTTTAATAAATGATAGTTTTGACAATATGTTTTTTTTTAAATTCATATATATAAAACCAAATCAAATAATAATGTTATTTGGTATAAAACCGAATAAACCGAAAACCGGTAGTATAAATACCGAATCCAACCAAATTAAATATAGTTTCTATATGGTAGCTAATTTTTAACAACCGAATAACCGAAAACCAAAAAAAATCGAACCAAAACCGGACCGAACACTAGATTGAACATGCCTAGTATTTACTAACACGTTTACTTATATTTGGTACTGACTGAATATAAAAAAAATTCTATAAAAACTTTAAAAACTCTTTGCAAAAAATGAAAAATAAAGATTTTTTTTATAAAATTAATTTTAAAATTAAAACTAAAATCAAATTTTATTTTCTTTAAAAAAATCAGACGGGAACTTATAAAATTTTATTTTTCTTTAAGAAAATCAAAAAATTTCCAAAATTTTATTTTAAGGAAAAATAAAATTTTATTTTAATTTTAAAATTAAGTTATAAAAAAAAATCTTTATTTTCATTTTTTGAAAATTTTAAAAAAAATTAAAGTTTTTATAGAATTTTTTTATATTCAGTCAGTACAAAATATAAGTAAATGTGTTAATTGAAAGAAAAATAAAATTTTATAGGTTCCCGTTTGATTTTTTTAAAGAAAAAAATTATTTTAATTTTAATTTAAAATTAATTTTATAAAAAAATCTTTATTTTCATTTTTTTGAAATTTTAAAGATTTTTTAAAGTTTTTATAGAATTTTTTTTTTATATTCAGTCAGTACCAATTATAAGTAAACGTGTTAGTAGATTCATTGAATGTGTCACTAGCCCAATGGTAAACTACCAAAGCAGTTAACTGTATGTTAAAATGACGAGTCAATCGTAAGTTCCTTTGGTAATTCGTGCAAAATTGATGCTTTTTTGGCCAAATTCTCATTTATTAATCCATGATTCATCTGTGATTTGATTTAATTGTCTGGTGATTCAACAATTGTTCGGTTCAATTTTTGGGTCGGGTTTAAAAACATTACCGAAAACCAAAAAAAAAAATCTTTCCATTGGACGGTGGTCTCCCTTCTTCAATCTCTCCACGATTCTACCTTTGCGTTATCCCAAAATTAGCAACCTTTTCTTCTCTCTCTCTCTCTCTCTCTTCAACACAATGACTCCGATCGCCATCACCCAGCTAGCCACAGGTCTTAGCGTCTTAGCCGGCGCCGTTTTAGTCAAATCGGTTCTTGACCAAAAGCCTATGGCCGGTGGCCCGTTCCCTCGTTGCCCGACCTGCAACGGCACGGGACGTGTCACGTGCTTCTGCTCTCGATGGTCTGATGGAGATATTGGTTGTCGTAGGTGTTCCGGTTCTGGTCGTGCGGCTTGTAGCAATTGCGGTGGAACCGGAACCGGTACACCTTTACCGGTTCAGATCACGGTTCGGCCACCGAGTCGCCCTTTCTAATTCCAAAAATTTGTATATTGCTTCTCTTCTCTTTTTTATGTCTATATTGTAAGTTGAATATATCTACTTTTGTTTCACAGAAACAAAAAAGTAGGAATTACTTAAATCCGAAATAGAAATTAGTAGTTTTTGTGGTGAATAAAATTAAATTTCATCCAGAAAATAAAGTAATTAGAAATAGTTAAGAAGAAATATATATATCTTATACAATAAAATCAAGTTTTCTCCCTTCTTAGAGTGTACACCTCAGCATTTGTGATGGGGGCAAAAAATGACATGTCAGCAACCCTAACCAAATTAAACCATTCAAATTATACCTCTCCCATTTCGGTTTAGATTTGTTTATTTTTCTGTCGATTTTGATGCTGAAATTGGGCTTTCCTTTTTCATGATGTAGA